AAGAAGTTTTGGATACAGAAAGTAAAACGCACTTTACCCACATTCAGCCAGTAAGGGCCAGCTTCGTCACATCGTGCTTTACCCAAGGTCACCATCATAGTGTTCCAGGTGATCATAAACCACTTGCTGCCATCAGACAAATCGACAAAATCCAAAAGGCGCTGAAACAAGGCAGCACTTCCTAAGTTTAACAACAAAGTGGTGATTTGTTACCCGTGTTGTGCTATGCGTGAGAACTTCGTGCCCTGGTGCAGGAAGATGACGAGCATAATGTGGAAGACGCTCTCCACGATAAAGCCATCGTCCCGATTCCGGGTGAATGAACCTCTGTTCCCTGCAAAATATATGCTTGTATCTGTACTTGTAACAAAATTTGTGGATATGACACATACTCGACGGGATCATCCAGGGACTGTCCAGCAGATTTCAAAGAATCACAAAAGATGGTGAGGTCTAAGCGAGCCTTGGTTCTCAACTCAATCGCTTGATCGCTGCAATACGTACGATGACTAATGAACAATGTAAAAAGAAAAGAATTACCGCGTCCAAGTATATGTGGGATCCCTTGCTGGTATATAACCGCGTTTGCCGTAAGAGAGCATCTCATGCACATCATCGAAATCCGGATTCAAAAACACGTCAATATGAAGTCGATGCCAACGTTCATCCTGCTGCGGATCCTATGATATCGTGTACTCGTTACATTCCTTGGAAAAGAAATTCCGACAATATAAATTCTTCGTAAACGTACTATGCGGAAGTTGAGCTGAAAGGTGAGGCGTGGATACGAAAGATGGTAGTGCAACAGAAGAGAGTACATGTTCTTGAAGGGGCTAAAAATTATAGAATAAGAATCCACACATCTATAACTTCGAGAGTCATTCAATGCTAATACATTATTAGCACCAATTATCTTGGCAAAATGCTTTATCACACTTTTACCTTGTTTTGCAATGCAGGGAACAAAAGTAAAGATACCGTGAACTCATTAATACGCTTAAATTGACAGTCTTTGAAGTAAAGAACGTGATAAAGTGATTGCCTTTGTATGCTGATTGGTACAATAAGCGCTGGTAATCATGAACTCAAGAACTGCTTATGTGATGATAAATGTTACCGTTCACAAATTATGCATCTCTCAGTTTGACGCTGATCTACGATCGTTATCCATCCCATTTCTTCGACTTCAGTAAGGGTAGCCAAAGTGGAGTTCTGAACAGGATAAACACAAATAAACATGAAAAATAAATTAGAGATTACCTTTGGTGAATGATTTTCTTTGCATGTACTCGACGGCTCATCATAGTATTCACGTGGAGCAATTCCAGACGAGATGCGGTAGCTTAAATCATTGGATCAGGCATTACTATCTTACGAAAAGATGCCGCATGCTCGGTTACGAAAACGAATGAGGTTTTGAAACAGAATTTCAACCAAAAGCATGGAGCCACTTTGAAAATTTCAAACAACATGAACAGCTGCGGGTGTTGGAAGTGATTTTTCACAGCCTTCTAAAACTCAGAAAAGTGAAAATTTTTTGCAAAGCTGTCCATCCGAAAGTCAGC